ATTCCCATATAGATGCACAATTAGTTTACAATTAGTTTACCTTTCATTAGTAGAGCGTTCCTTCAAATCAACAAATCACCTGAAAAAAATAAACAAAGGTAGGTTAGAGCGGATTAGACTAAAAGCAGCACATCGGGAAATGAATCTGGTTAAATTCTCATACAAATACATACCCATATCCACACATATACAGGACATATACATAGTTCCCACTGCTGATCCGTATTCGCCTCCTGCAGCTGCTACACTACATTTTTAACATGTGAGCCTTGATTTTTTTTTTATTTCCAAGGCAGCGGGAAGTAAACGTCAGCCTAAGTGATGTATAAAAAAACATACATACATGCACACTTACACACATACATGCATACGTACATACCCAAATCCACTCATATACAGGACATTTAAACATGTCCTCCTCATGCTGGTACGCCTTCGCTTCCCGCTCCGCTCCTCAGCTCCACCGTTTTAGCATGCGAGCCGAACCTACATTTATGGGATCGCATAGAAAGGCAACATTTAGTAAGACGTTATTTTAAATTTGGAGAGTAGCGAAAAGTAATCTTAGCCTGCGTATAATAAAAGAAAATTTACGTGCATGTATGCATGACTGCATAAATAATTACATAAATATGTTACATGCACTTATATTAGCCTTAAAAAATTCAAATCTAAATACATGTGTACATACCCATATCCACATAATTCATCCGGCACCAGATCGCCCTCCTTCTTACTAATCCTCCTCATACTGCTCCTCTAACTAATCGTTGAACATGCGAGACTTACTTAAGTTCCTAAGATTTGCATGGAAGGAAAACATTTCGCAGAGTACAGCACCGTTTAAAATAAACTTTTTTAATTTGCAGCGTGGCGAACCTCCTTCTTCTCCAGCTGCTGCTGGTCTGCCTCCTCCTGCTGGGCCGCCTCCTCCTGCTGGGCCGCCTCCTCCTGCTGGGCCGCCTCCTCCTGCTGGGTCGCCTCCTCCTGCTGGGTCGCCTCCTCCTGTTGGGTCGCCTCCTCCTGTTGGGTCGCCTCCTCCTGCTGGGTCGCTTCCTCCTGCTGGGTCGCCTCCTCCTGCTGGGTCTCCTCCTCCTGCTGGGTCACCTCCTCCTTTAAGTCGAGAAAGCACGCGAGCCTTACTTATGCATCGCATGCATATATGCATATACATCCATACATACGCACACATACACACACATACACACACATACACACACACACACACACACACACACACACACACACATACACACACACACACACACACACACACACACATACATACGTACAGACAGACATACATACATACATACATACATACATACATACATACATACATACATACATACATACATACATACATACATACATACATACATACATACATACATACATACATACATACATACATACATACATACATACATACATACATACATACATACTACATACCTACATACCTACATACCTACATACCTACATACATACATACCTACATACCTACATACCTACATACCTACATACCTACATACCTACATACCTACATACCTACATACCTACCTTGGTCCTCCTCCTGTCCCCCGGCTCAACAGCTTCAAGAGTTGAAGCCCGCCTGCGACTAATTCATAGGTGAAGCCTGCAAGCTTACTTAAAATTTTGAGAATCGAGGAGGAGGGCAGCATTAATAAATACGTTTTCTTATTTAAATTTGCTTCGCCATAAGACATATTGGGCTACCATTGGTGTAGAAGCCAACTTACACGCATACATACATACACACATACATACATATATACACACACACACACACGCACTCTCACACACACACACATACATACATAAATACATACGTAATAACATACACCGATTGTAATTGTTTTTGCCGATTTTGGAAAAACTTACATGGATCCGGAATTTTCGCGCATCAAGGGGAAATTGCCAAACAATTTTCCTGCATATTTTGTACCCTGAATTTTCAAATTTTAAATAAGCGGGTGTAGTTTTCCCAAAGCTTTTCAACTATTTTAAACAATAAAGAACTTTAAAAGAATAATGAAACCCAGGTTTCGTTTAAAATCAATTTGGCAAACCATTCTATGATCCTCGAGGGATTGGTAGGCGGCGAGCTGGTAAGGTGGTGAGGAGCTGGGGTGATTGTTGGCAGGCACCAAGGGCAGGCAGTTGGGTTGGCAACAATGTTGTTGTATTAGTTAACGTTACTAACTTTAGTTATTGCGCGTGTTGCGATTTCGCGCTTTTATGGTCCATTTAAGACTATGAGATGGAAATGTTGTGTCGGCTGTGCCAACAGATTTATCACCGGTCCCCCCCGTTGGCGGGTGGTGGCGGCGGTGAGGATCCGAGTTTCAAGCGCCAGGGAGGCAAAAGCAGCCAAGGCTGTGGGCTCGCCAGAGCCCGAGTAAAGTTCATCGATTTCAGCCAACCCAAGCGATAAAAACTGTGCGCACTGATCAACAGTGGAATTGCAAAAGATCTTTCAACAATGTTGCGAGCGCTGAGCAATTTTACTGTAAAACCCAAAAGAACAACACGCGGCAACAAACAGCACAAGCACATCCTAAATGTGGCCAAGTGTCCAGCTCCAGCTCCAGCTCCAGCTCCAGCTTCGGCCAGCTGCGGCGACGGCGATCGTAAAAATGTTTGACTGCGATTATATGGCGCTCATGAGAGCGCCACTTTGTCAGGGTCTGGGCCTCTGATGTTGATGGACTGGACTCGTTCGGCACAGGGGCGTGCTAGGCCTGGGCTGTGGCCAAAGGGGGTTGCCGCAAATCTTTATGTGAGGCCAGGCCCAGCAACAAATTGTATATCAACAAGCAGACAACAGATTGGCCTGGCCTGGTACACACACATGTGTCAGCATATATGTATAAAGCATAAATGCACGAACACACACACACACGCGCGCAAACACAGGTGTGCACATGTATTATTTAGGCATAATTTATGAAGCGAGAGGTGAAAATATTTTCAATAGATGGTGATTTAAATTTATTAAAGGAATGCTCACGACCAGCCCGAGCACTAAATTAGAATAAGCCAGAGTCGGAATCGGAATCGGACTCGAAGTCAGAGCGAGGGGCATGGGGGTGGCTCATAAAAACTCAAGCAAATTAAAACGGTGTGTGTGTGTGTGTGTGTGTTTGTGTGCGACTGGGCGCACGCTTGCACGGATCAGATTGAGCATCCAGTATTGGTACCATCATCCGATCCGATCCAATCCAATCCAATCCAATCCAATCCGAAGACGCATCATCAGTCGTTCGCATCTAAGCATCGACAGCGACAGCGACGAGGCAGAGCGCTCTTATCAGATTCGAAATACGTATAAATACGAGTGCACAACATGCTCAACGCGAGGCGACTCATTTAAATCTCGGCCAGAGCCAGATCGGGCTCAAAGAACTTAACCAAACCCAGTCGCAGGCAGCTTGTGATCCGAACGCGCCGCGTTCGCCTTTTGTTAACACCATAATTTACATTGATTTATGTGCTTAGTTGACTCTGCATTTTTAATCGGTTAGCTCGGGCAACGTCGCCGTCGCCATCCCAAGCTCAGCTCCAGGTGCCAGCCCTTGCCCCCGCACCGTGTCTATGTGGCCGGGCTGGGCAGTGTGTGTGCGCGGCTTCATTTGGTTATAATTAAAATGTCGATGTTATCAACCAGATTTGGACATATTGGCCATTACACTCGAAATTTAAGCGATTTCTATGCGCGTATTTTTCTGATATTGATTTTCGATTTCATTTACCATTTACCATCTACCATCTCTTTCCCCCTGCCATGTCCGCCCATGTTTGTTTCTTTCCAATTTGATTTCTGTTTATGTTTCTATTTCAGTTTCTGTCAGGCGGCACACAATGAATATTGATTAAATTAATATTTAATAACGTTTTAAGAAGCTTTTGAGTGTTAAATGCTTATTTATGCTCATTGGCTGTGCTTTCTGTAGCTGTCATATATAAATCCCCCCTTTCGTTGTCGCTCGTTATTTGACTTTGTTGGCAATTGTACGCCAGGAACAAATAAATTTAAATTAAAATAATGATTTTTTTCGTGAATTCTGACCAATTGTATAAACGTTTAAGTGTTTACCGAATGCATTGATGTGCTCCAATTAATTTATGTAATTGTAAGAGCTTGTTTTTTTTCTGAATGTAAGCCGAAATTCAAAGGCGATATTGCTTTTCCATATCATTATCTTACAATTCTTTCTAAATATATATATGTTACCTTGGCTTATATCTTAACTTACCTTAAAGGTAAACAACTGAAATATAGTAAAAACTGTTGCTGAAAGATTCCATTTATGGGGAAATTCCTTCGTTTTTCAAAGCTTTTACAAGCTGCTGAGGCAGATAATAAAGCGATAGCTATAAATAATTTACTTTTTTTAAATATTTTTTAATATTTTTAATAACATTAATTTATCATTTGAATCTCTCTCGAACTACGGAAACCATTTAAATGTAATTTGTTCAACAGTTTATTATTGCGTCTCTGCCTTCTTTGAGAGACAAAATATATAGTTACTTTGAGTTCAGTTAACGCTATATCGGAGTGTATCAATATCAGTTCAAAACGCAACCAAATACAAATGTACACGCAGTACATAGGTGCCTATATACAACTGTCTATATAGACATTGACAGTCACGCGGCACGGGCACACACACATACGTATCTTAATAAATATGTATATATATATGTGTATATATATATATACGTATGTATATGTGTAGTAGTTATCTGAGCATACATGGCTAAGCTTAAGCCTAGGCTAGGGCTAAGTTACAGATAAATATTGCATACGCTATAGCCTTAAATGGTGATGAGGTAAGCCGGGCACCTGCGAGGCGACCTACGGCCGGCAATGAATAAAAAATTATATATAAGTATATATATATATAAATAAAATAGTGTGCCATAAGAGAAAAAGTGAGTGAACAAAGTGGAGCAAGTGGTGCATCTAGTAGTACGTATTAGTTACAATTTGAGTTTAATTTTAGGCATGTCCACACACACACACACACACACACACGCACACAGACACACGCGCACAGGTAGCTGCCGCATGTTGCAATTACAGCTTGCCGCACAACTTAATACAGCTCGTAGCTGCAGCCCGATCCGCAGCCAAGTGGGTGAGCAGCATTTTAACTTTGGTTTTCGATTTGTTTTTATATATTTTTTTTTTTTTACTTTTTTTTTGTCGCCAGCGTCGCCCAGTCTCAAGTTACGGAGCACAACATGAATGTTACCGCCTCCGCCCTGCGCCGGCGTGGAGCCAAGGGGGGCGGGGACGGAGCGCGGGGCACTGTCGCTGTCAATCACAAGCGCGCACACAACTCAAGTTTTCAATTAGAATCTACCGACATGTCGCTAGCTGGCCCCTACCGGTCATGCTTTAGGAGCTGCAGCGTTGTGGGTGCATCGGAGGATGACAGGCGGCCCACCTTTGCCACTGGCGACTCAATTTCAGCATCGGAGTCGTCGTGCACATTGATTTCCTCATCGGAGTCCGACGACGAATTGTCCACGTTCACCGTGGCACTAGCTGCCGCATTCGCACACTCTCCACCGACATAGTGCATCCGCGAGCGCTGCTCCTCGGCCACGGTCAGGGAGGCGGCGACTGCATACTGACGCGCCAGGCCCAAGGCAAAGGCTGCCGCTGAGGGCGAGCCCACCAGACTGCGGAACGCGCTCCGCTCTCCGCCCATCGACAGACTGGACGTTGGGCTGCCACAGACGCCACCCGATGTGGGCGAATGTTGTTGCTGCTGCTGCTGCTGTTGCTGCTGCTGCTGATGGTAATGACTGAAGAGCTGCAGGGCTGCGGGATGCGTGGGCAAGTGATGGTGGTGACCGGGCGGGCCCGGCGGTAGCGCATGCAGCGGATGCATCATGACGGAGGGCGGCGACTGCGCCGCTCCCAGCGGTGAGTCCGCGCACAGTACCGACGGATGGGCGTGCGGGGTGGTCGGCGCGGATGCATTGCTGTGCGTGCTGGGCGTGGGGGAGCTGTTGGCCGGCCCGTCGTTCGACTGCTGCGAGTGTATGGGATTGGCGGGACTGGAGCGCTGCCGCTTGAGCAGATTCATTCGCTGATGGCGACGCCATTTCGCGCGTCGGTTCGAGAACCAAACCTGAAGAGCAGGAACCAAAGAGATACGCGTCCAGGGTTAGGCTTTGCCCCACAGCGGCAGCTGAAAAGTAAGTGGCACTTACCTGCACCCGCGCCTCGCTCAGGCTGGTGCGACTGGAGAGACGCTCCCGTGTGCTTACGCACGGATAGTGGCTCTTGTCGAACTCCTTCTCCAGCTCCTCCAGCTGCTCCGGACTGAAGGTGGTGCGATTGCGTCGAAACTTGGGCTCATCATCGTCATCCAGATAGTCCGAATCGATTTGCCGATTCTCATCCGCCGACTCCAAGGTTTCGTGGCTGCCCGAGCCAGGTGAGATGGCGCGATTCATGGGCGCACCGCCGCCAGCTGGACTGCCCAGCAGATTGGCGCTGCTCAAGCTCAGGCTGCCCGGCGTGGCACTGCCCGCACTGGGCGGCAGATTGGCCAGCGTGGGCGCAGCCACTGGCCAGAGGGCAGAAGGTGGCGGCGGCACAGGCGAACCGCCGGGCACATTGCCCGGATGCCACGTAAAGCTGCCATACGGATGCGGTGGTGGCGGATACAGCCCATAGGCAGCTGTGCGCGCAAACTCGCTGGCCACACGCTCCGCGGCGCGATTACGCAGGATGCGATTGATGCTGCTCACCGAGGGCGCAGTCGCGTTGGTGCAAACACCTGCAAGGCGAGATGCGAGAGACGAGAGGGTGCAATTAGTAGACAGATGGAATGGCCAGCTTAAAAGCTGCCGCCGCTGCTGATCAATTGAAGATTAGCCAGCCTCCTGGCTTGATTTGCAACTGCAATTACCCGCAACGGACTTACCTTCGGAGATTAAGCGCTCGCGTATCTCCCAGGCGAATATCGTTGGATTCTCGCGCTTGTACTGCTCAATTTTGGAGACGACCGTTGGCGTGGCCACTTTTGGCTTGGAGCCACCAATTAGACCAGGTGGTCGCAGCGAGCCTACGCAAACGAGACAAAACACAATTGTCAGAGGAAGAGAGAAAATAATAATGAATTATGGTATGCGGCTTATGATGGTTAGGTAATCAAGGATGCAACCCACAATCGTCAGTTCGCTTTTGGTTTTCGGTAGTTGGCTTATCGGGCCCAGTTAATAGCTTTATCAGGCAACAACATCAAAAACGTGTATCCCCCCACAACATGCAGCGAGAGAAACACCTCGGCCGGACCCTATCGCCGAACCCGTCTGCCTGGCGATTAGGGCAGCTTTTTTGATTAATGAGCCGCGGCAGCAGCCACCGTCGTTCGAGGCGTTTATGCAATTTTAAGTGCCCAAATTACGCCTGGCCAGAGCAGGCCAGAGCAGACCCGAGCCAGACAGGGGCAGGATGTGCACTCGCGTGCATCGTCCAAGGATAATAACATTATAAATAATTGTGTTTATCATTGAAATTGGCAAACAAATCGAAAACAAAGTGGTTACGCGCATAACTTAAACAATTGTGCGGCAGCACGAGTCGAGGGCGCTGGGGAAAAGGGATCGGGGATCAGGAGCAGGTTGCTCGTGCGGCTACTTACCTAACAGCTTGGAGACAGCGCCCTGCTGGGTGAGCATGTGTTGGGCTATATCGTAGCCGCGCAGGCCGCCAAAGCGGGAGAACTCCAATAGGCGATGCTGCGACATCAAAGCGCCGAGCGTGCTGCCAGTTGCCGCTGCTGCTGCTGCTGCGGCGGCAGCAGCTGTTGCCGCCGTTGGCCCACCGTTGCCAGCACCGAAACCTGGCGGTATTTGCACAGTTGTTGGCGCGGTTGTTGTCGTTGCCGCTGTTGGTGATGCCGACGCCACTGCAATTGAACGAATTGAATGATAATTGGCCATTGTTATCATTATTCCTAGTAGCTGTTGTTGTTGTTGTTGCTGCTTGTTGCTGCTGCTGTTTGTTGTTGTTGCTGCTTGTTGTGGTTTGCTGTTGTTGCCGATTGACACAATGGTTAATTATGATAAATTAACGGTTAATTGTGTTGACGTTGACTAAACTGAGCTAAAGCCGCCGAGTGACTGATGACAGCAGCAGCAACAACAGCAACAACAGCAACAACAGCAACAACAGCAGCAGCAGCAACAGCAGCAACATCGGCAATGGCGTTGCTCAATTGTCACTGGCTAAAACAAATACTTGTTTCTTTTTTTTTTCTAGACTAATGTTTGAATGAAACGCAACTTGAACGATCAACAGATTTAACATTTTCGGGCATAATTTAGCGCTTATAAAAAGCAAATTAAAATTAAAATATTTAATCAGCTGCGGCAGAACCTGTGTGCAGCGTGTGTTGGATTTAAGGTACACAAAACATATTATCGTCTTGGTGCCAATATTAAATTTTTTTTCTTTTTATTTTATATCACATTTATACCTAATGCGTTGCTCGCGTAGAACCCACAACCTTACGAATTTCTGGTAATTCCCTGCCATTGTCAATTAGCCGTAAATTCAAAAACAATTTGCTCCGTTTGAGAAGCATTTGATATTCATTTGGCCAAACACCTATTGTGGCATAAATTGTGCAGATCTATTGTGTTAACCAGTTGAAAATATTGGAACACGTGCCAAGTGAAAATATATACAGATGGAATTGATAAAGACAAACATGAAAGAGTTTATCTTGCAATTAAATCTTCAAATTAAGAGCAGAACGCGCTGTTAGAAAGTTGATCATTTTTGAGATACATTCTACATAGGAACTATGCTGAAATTTGTATCTCAAAGAAGAACTGAGGACTTTTATAAGCTACGCTTCTCAGTCTAATGATTAATGTCCTTTAACAATGATTGTTTGCTTTTGCAGTCATTTTTTGAATTGCCGTCGGCAATTGCCCTCATTGGGATTGGAAAACTTACCACTGGATGCGTGCGCTGCCAGCGATGGCAATCGTTGGGGATGTGGCTCCATTTTCCAGTGTGCGGTCGCAATGCCAGAACCTGCAGCAGTTAGCGAGCCAAAATCACGGTTCAAGCTCGGCTCAATCAACATGTCAGCAGCGTTTGGTCGCCGGGCTACGAAACGATGCTTTGATGTGCTTGGAACAGTTCAAGAGTTTTTACTACACAGCACTAAGTAGCACAGTCACAGTCACAGTCACAGGCACAGTCACGGGCACAGTCACTGGCACAGTCGCGGCGCAATTATTGATTGTGGAGCAAATCTGTGGGCATGGCAGACAGACAGACTCGGTGGCAAACGGAAACGCAATGCGGCCAATTAAATTCATAACGTGCTCCTCACTGCACCCGCGCACATTGCCCAAACCGAATGATGGCTTCAGAAAATTGCTTTGCTACGTTTGCCTAATCGACGTTGTTCCGTTTGAACGTTGTTCACGTGAAAGCCGCTCTCAGCACACTGAGTGCCAGCCGCAAGTGGCTTGAATTTCACCTGGAACTGGCTGCCGCCGCCGCTGCTGCTGCCGCCGCTGCTGCTGCTGCTGGCGACGGCTCCACTCAATTCGCGTTTCACTCAATGTTTGAGTGCTTTTCGCCGCGCCAACCGGTTTTTCAACTTCGGCGCACATTCATAATGGCGGCCGTTGTCAGATGAGCCGCTAGCGTGCGAGCGGGACGGCAACATGTCATGCACACTAGCGCGCGCACACACAATCCCAGCAATTACATGCCTCTCCCCCTCACTCCAACAACGGCACGTTACACCGAACGCGCCAAGTAGGCAGTGGCCAACGCGCTCATGACTGCGTCCGAGCGTATAAACAACCAGCCTCAGGAACAGGAAGAGACCTCTGCGCGAAGCGCTAGGGGAAGTGCAATTTATTTATGATAAGGCATTGCTTATGTTCTAACTGCACTAAAATAGCGCATATTAGAACCGCCGAATACTATTACTCAAGGGAAATACATATTTGAAGGCCAAAACGCGACTTTAGCTTTATGTTAAAGGCAGAAATGTTTAGTTTGTAATAATAGAAGAGCCTGGAAGGATGTTAACTATTAAAATCGGCTGATCTTGGACTGATAAATTTAATCATTCAGAATGCCTTCCAAATAAGGCTAGGATTTTTAGAAATTACACCCCAACTTCCTACTAAATTTGTTGAAATTCTTTAACTTTTGTTAGAATTTTAAAATAGAAAAAATAGATCATATATATATAAACCTAACGCATATATGCGCATGCTTATCTGTTTATCGTCCCTAAGGAATGGGATTGAAGGACAGTGTCTTTATATATTAACCTTTCTATTTATCGTCCTTTAGCACTTCAAGAAACTTGGCATATTTCAAATATCTCGTGTTCGTAGTAAAATTGGAAAAATGTAAAACATTCTTTAACTCATATTGATCACGGATATAAAATACGCCTACATAGGTTCAGCTTCTTACTTTTCCGTTTGATTTTTTTTATTTGTTTATTATGTTGATTGGTCCGTAGAAAAATATGTTGTTCCTGCTGCTGGCTGTGCAATGCTACGCCTGAAGAAATTTGCTTGATCACAAGCAAATTTGATGTGTTGCTAAGTATTACACAGAACTTCCGGCAAGCGAGGCCCTCATTCCAAATCGAGCAGTCACACCAGCAACGACTCGCCAGGAGAAACCCACTTCCCCTAACATAGGGCTACATTCCAAAGCGTAATCACAAGCAGGTCAGGCTTAACGCTACAAATGTGAGTAAATTATTTTAGACGTTTAGAAAAGTAACCAAAACAAACCCTTGCTGCCTTTAGAACTTGACTGTGTATAAGTTCGTTACGAAATAAATAAACTTTAAATTTTCCCTAGATATGTGAAATTTCAACGATTGATAAGTCATAAACAACTTTCATGTACACACACTCAATTAGACAGCCTGCAAGGTGCTCAGATTTGTCTCTTGGCTGACGTTTTGTAGCTTTTGGTGTGCGTGTTGGATGATTGATGCGCTGCTCGGGCAAGGCGACTCAAAGCTGAATCGGGAGTGCAACTAAGCTACACATGGCGTGATGGGCGAGCCACACAGAATGCCTGCCGGTGGGGGCAATGGCAAGCGTGGTGCCTGCACAGAAGCCAAATTGCATCGATGCCTGTGAATTGAGTAGCTGCCGGCGCAATTCGAATGGTTCGAGCTGAAAAGCAATTACCCTGCTGGTTGCCAGTTGCCCGGCTTGGACAGAAGAACACGAATCTGCACAGTCAAGAGATCGGGTAGGAAGTGTGGGGAGCATGCTCCCAATGGCCAACAAGTTCTCTCACTAACGGTTAACAAATAATTAAGCCGCACATTTTTGTAATAAATGTGCATAAAATGTCACATGCATATGCATACGTACATACATGCATACATGCATACATCAAATTGTGAAAGGCAAATCATGAATGAACCAGCGACGACGACGATGAAAGCTGACGATGACGCTCGAGTGCTTTTATGCCAGAGATCCAGAGCAAACGCAAACAATCGAACAGGAATAATTTACTATGTAAATAAGACGTGAGCTGTGGAGCCGATGCCGTTGCCGGAGTCGAAGTCGGAGGCTGAGGCTCGAGAGTAGCGTGCGCCCTCGCGCCATCAAGTGGCACTTCAACAATCAAGCATTCACACAAGCAGATGGTTCGCAGCCGCCAGCGACCACCTAAACGAAATTTCATTTAGTTTTAGCCTGTCATCACGGCACAATCGCAATCCCGCGGACGTCGCCAGACGTTGCCACTGCCTGACTCGTCCGAATGTAGATATCTATATAGATAGATATGTATACATTATGGAGATGTATGTGTGCATATGCACAACGAACACTCGCTTTATTGAGTGTTTGTTTACCTAATTCGATTACCGATCGCGTCCGTTCGCCATAATCCCCACAAAACACTTGACCATTTGGGTGGCACATATATGAACAACACACTCGCACACACACACACACACACACACACGTACTGGGAGATAAATATGCATATCTTTGTGCTCCTCGAGCAAGCAATCATTGCGGAGTAATAAGGTTGCTGACTTAATTCGAGCGCTCGAAAGTGGAGAAGGGTGTGCTTGGATCGGGGATACTTCTCTGCTCTTGTATCTTAATGCAATTAAATGAATAAATGGAAACAGCTGTGCAGCTTGTTAGTTTGAAGCGCTTAAAAATACACTTTTGAACTTTAAAACCAATTACAAATCATTTAAGAAGCTGTTCGATTTCATTTAAAATTCTTTAAGCTTAACTTTAAACAGTATATTAAAAATGCAGAATCAGCAGAATGAGAGTTAAGCGCGCTTTTCATAGATGAAGAACAACATTAAAAGTAATGAATAGAGAGAGAAAGAATATATAGAACATATATTTGGATCAATTAGATTGTTGCTGAAAGACAAAAAATAACAATCCACGAGGTACCTTTCTGACTATTCTCTACTTTACACACGCTTTCAATAACAAACAATTTGTGTTCTCCCTTTTTTAGGCACCTGTTACAAGCACCTGTTTGAATATGGTTACAAGTATAAATAATTTTTAAATTCGTTTTGGCGCCATAACACATTTGAGTTTTCATTTCTCTACCATCTCTAAGACTCAACGAAACTATCGTCAAAAAACATCGATCAGGCCATGTATTGAACTTGTCGAAGCAACCCAAAACTATCGATAGTTATATATCATCAACATTAAAGTCAGGCGAGAACTGCTACAATTTTGTATTGTTAGAAAAACTAAAAAGAATATAATGCGCACCGTGCTTTTGAGCAAATCCGATGAGCTCTATCTGGAAAAGTGCGCCCAAGAGCACAGTTTCTCGTACGGCATTATCGTTGGTCACGTAAGTACAAGTATGCTCCTGCTCCGGCCATCGCCACGTAGGTTTATGTTGTTGACTGAATATTCTTCATTTTTTTTTTATTCTACCACACCTTAAATTCCAGCAAGCAGATTTAACCAAAAGCATTGTGGTTCATCTGGCACGCAACAGCGAGGAGGATGCAGACTTGGAAGACTTGACAGATGTCCGGCTGAGCATACGTGACATCAACTCGCATGCGTTGGCCTCCCAATGGCTGAGCGCCAGCAAAATGTGCCCCGGCTCCTTTGATGTCATAGGTGGGCAATGAGATAGGCACGGTACCAGACTCCAATTCACATGGGCTTACTCTTTTTATTATTAGGTATATTCATTGCCTCTGTACGCCCGGAGATGGCCAATGAGCAGAGCGAGGAATTCAGGAACGCCAAGAAACTCTTCTCCGATGTCTACGAGTGAGTGTCGCGAGATGAGAAGGAAAGTCAAAACAATTCTATAGTCTCACTTTTGTTGCAGCGTGTTGCTCAAGAGCAATAGCTCCTTTGGGGTATACACCACAGACATGGCACAGACGGACTATGTGTTCCTCTCCTACTCCCTGGCCGACAAAAGCTTGCTCTGCAAAAACTATACGTATGGAAAGTAAGTGCGATCCTTTGTAGAACTAACTAACAATTGTTGAGTATTTGGGTCGGGATCAAGCCGAATCTACACTGTTGACTTATGTATCTTTTCTTTATCAATTATCTTGTTGGCCACATGCTTAAAATAGACATTGCAAAAAAACGTATTTTACGGCAAACATTAAATGCATCATATGGTAAATAACATGTTGAAAATCCAGTACTTACACCTTTGAATGTTTTACGACCATTACGGCGTATATTTACTTATATAATCGTTAATTTTCGTAGCTGTTCTTACGACTTATTTATGGATTGCCTTTTACGATTTATCTCTAGATACATATGTATGTTGTATTTATCAAAACGAAATTCTTTTTGTAGAGCTTTGTTAATCGTCTCCATGAACTACTTGAGTAATATATATTTGTTTTCTTAAACCCCAACAGCGGCGGCACATTCTCCTCCATGGACTACCGCTTCGTGGAGAAGCCGTTCGAGTGGATACAATTGGAGTGTAATTACGACTTGGATGATGTTATACCCATAGTCGACACAACCAGACGCATCAACATTGAAGAACAGTTTCAAAACATTATAGTCACGATCCGTAAATACCTTATTGCCAGCGAGGTATTCCTCCAGAACGAAATGGTTGAGGACACAATGGATTTGCAGAGCTACATTAAAAAGAAAAAGCTTAAGGACGACAAGCTTAAGGAGACAGCGACCAATGCCACCGCTGCTGCTGCCAGCTCCCCGACAGCTGCGGCTGCCTCTACATTGCATCTACTATCCCCCATTGACAATTCCAATGGCTGCGTAATACGGGCCAGTATCGTGATGCCCGTGAAATGCCAGCTGAACAATCCAAACGATATCAAGGTGCGCGAATTTAGTGGCACTTTACGCATGAGCGGGATGATCTTCTCACGAATTTACTGCAACTCGCGGAACAGCTTGGCAGACGTGAAGCGTTTCCTGCGTGACGACGTGTTGCGCTCGTTGATAACGCGGATCCAGGTCTATTGCGATGGTCTAACCGATCCGCACGTCACCAACGAGGCGGTCTACATAAGCGAACCTCCCCGACGTGTGTTCTTTAGCATACCCGCGGAATGTGGCAACTGTTTGCCTTGTAGCTCGGTTCAGTTCTCCGAATATTTGTTCCGTGGCGAAGCACCCACCGTGGCCGTAGCCCAAGCCAAGCAGGTACTTGACATCGAGCTCGATCCGGAGGCGATTGACTTGGACGCCGAGGCACTACCAGATGACGGCAACTTCAACCATTTTCACGCAGACAGAGACGCAGTTGGAGACGACAGTCGCAGGATGAGCAGCTCGATGCCAAAGCGAGAACTGTCCC